ATTCTGTCTCTCACGTTTATTGTGTGTATAGGCTCAAAATGAAGAAAAGAAATAAGGTGAAGCATATAAGGGGCCTTATATAGGCTTACCTAGTGATAATTAATTAAAGTTAATCAAATGGGCATTAATTATTCTAATTTAATCGCTCCGAATCGAATTTTAATTAAACTTACCATAAAATTCTAAAAATTTCAAATATCACATAACCCAAGTCAATTTCATGTTCAGATGCCGATAAAGCCTTCAATTCACAGAACAAAACAAAAATACGAACAGATCTTTCTACGATAGATAGATAGAAACACAAATAATGCAACACACATGCAATTAATTTAAAATTTCATCTTCATTCCTCATCAAGCATTCTTAATCATGGTTTAACAGTTAATTATAGATTGGGGTTATTAGAAGAATAGTGTTACACCTGCAAGTAGGTGGGAGAGGATATAAACCACCATTTTTTTGGTGTTCAGTAGGTGATATCCCATACAATTAAGGGCATGTTTGCCTTTTGGAGATATATGGATGTTCAAAAGGAATATATGTGTTTTTTCGTGTTTATGGAAGGAGAAAAATAGCAATTATGTTTCAGTATGAGGCCTCTAAATGTGGCCGACATGGCAAATAATTGATCACTCTCTCTTTAGCTTAGCTTTGGAGATAACAGAGCTCATCAAATCGAATACTCTTGAAAAGGGTTTCAAGTTTCACCATACCAGACCAATGTGTTGCTGCTTCTACTGTTGTTCAGCAAGAGGGAGATAGAGGGAGAAGACGAAGCTCCAGATTTTAGTGTAGGGTTTTTGATTGGGGAGCGTTTGTGTACTCGACAGTCTTCTGTGTTCCACTGGACCACTGACCGCTCTTGTGACGCGTGTTCATTCTCCAGGCTCGGTTTGATTCTTGGATATAGAAGGCTAGATTGGAGATTATATACTGTGGGTCCTATATATCTTGTGTTTGTAATTTATTTTGGAGGAGGATATAATATACAACTAGATTGTGTATTTCCAAAATGGGTGGATATACAACACCCACTCCACCCTATTATATCATATCCCATCAAATGGGATAATAACTAAAAATACAATTTTACCCTTTTATAATGGAAAATCTAATTATGTGTATATATGAACTTTACAATGAGAAATTTGATTGTGGAAAATCGGGTTATGGAAAATCTAATTTAAAAGTTTTGAATTTTCAAAGATTTAATTCAAAAAATATTTACCAATTTAAGAATTAAATAAATAAGTGGGCCAAATAAACTACGATATGTATTTTATTTTATTTTTTTAATTCTGCCAATTAAACTATGATATGTATTTTTTATTTGTAAGAATTTAGAATATGCAATTAAATTTAGAAAAATAATTTTAAAAATGTTAAAACTTAATTTATTCTAAATTATTTTTCTTAAATATTTTAAACAAATTTATATTATTATTTAATTTTTGATTATGTTATTACTTAATTGATTATTATTATTTAATACACACACACACACATATATATATATATATATATTGGTAAATGATTGGATGTAATGAAAATACATATGTATTGCCTGATGATGGGTATAGGGACAAAATAGACATTAATGTATGTTATTTGCTTATATCTCATAATTCTTTTTGTTAAACAAGCATCGATAAAAAATTTCCAGTACTACATACTGAACTCAACAAACACGAGCATGAGATATGTTATCCAATTCATATATCCTATGTACTGAACTCAACAAACACGAGCATGAGATATGTTATCCAATTCATATATCCTATTCATTACATATACTGAGTAAATCCCAAGGCACATTATATCCTTCATTTTATATCCGGACAATCAAACAAGGCCATAGAGCATTTTCTTTTCTCTTTGGAAAATTTATCATAAAGTGGTAATTTTATGATACTTAAGGTTGCAAACGAACCAAACTGTTTATGAATAGTTTGAACTCGACTCGTACAAAACTCATTTGAACTCCACTCATTTACTAAATAAACGAGCTCGAGCTCGATTTTTATGCTCGTTTATTGATCAAGCCGAGCTCGAGTAGCTCTAAACTCGGCTCTTAAACATAAAAATAAATAAATAAATATTTATTTTTAATAATATATTAAATAAAATTTCAATAATCTATTTTTTTTTTTTTTTATGTTTGGTGTTTGTGTAAATTTACATATTTGCTTGATGAAATTTATTATTAATATAAGTATTATTATATATTTTACTCATAATTTTGTATATATTTTTTTATCTTAATAAGTAAATTAATTTAAATTTAATTTTTTTCAAGCTCGAGTTCGAGTTCGAACTCGGTTCTTTTATGTAATCAAGCGAGCTTGAGCCGATCTCGAGTTCAACAAATATTTGACAAGCCGAGCTCGAACTTGATTTTTGAAGCTTGACTTGAGCTCGGTTCAAGCTCAAACTCAACCAATTTTTAATAAACGAGCTTGAACATTCAAAAGTTCGACTCGGCTCAATTCGTTTGTAGCCTTAATAATACTAGCCCAGTTCGGCATAAGGGTGTAAATTTGGCTCGGCACGGCTTGACCTATCCAAGCTGGGGCTTGGGCCAGCCCATGTTGGGTCGCACGGGTTTTTGCCAAAATTCGGGTCGGGTCAGGCCAACTCACGAGTTAGAAAATTAGGCCCAGGCTTAAGCCCATGGGGTATTCGAGCCTTAAACCAGACCGGTGGGCCTAGGCTCAAGCTTGGGTCATGCCTGGCCAGGACTAAACAAATTTTTTTTCTCTATTTTTTCCACCAAAATTTTATTCTTTTTCACTAAAACTGACACTGAGGCCTCAAGTGAGCCGGACTCTAAATGGGTCTTGAACAAGTTGATGGGTTGGGTGGGGTATTCGGGCCTTAAACCAGATCGGTGGGTCTAGGCCTAGGCTCAAGCTTGGGTCATGCCTGGCCAGGACTAAACAAATTTTTTTTCTCTATTTTTTCCACCAAAATTTTATTCTTTTTCACTAAAACTGACACTGAGGCCTCAAGTGAGCCGGACTCTAAATGGGTCTTGAACAAGTTGATGGGTTGGGCCATGCCTCAAAATGACGACCCATGCCCAAGCCCAAGGTCCCAGGCTGGGCTAGAGCCTAGACCTAACCGGGCTAGGCCCACACCAGGCCACGGGCGAGCTTCAAGCCTCCCACGCCTAGCGAGCCATTTTTACACCCCTATGTATGGGCTAAAATAAAATTTCCCAAGTCCTCAAAAAGTAGAACTGGACTGAACAGACAAATGTCCAATTCCATTTATGCTTCATTTGGAGTGTTAGTTTTTTTTGTCAAAAATAATTAAAAAACTAAAACATCTAATTATATCATTCTTTCTTTTCTTTTCTTTTCTTTGTATTTTTTCATAAAAAATTTAGAAATAAATTAAAATAGTCCCTCCTCAAACACCTCCTTAGATGGGGGGCATTAATACTTTATAATTTCATTCAGTGTGTCTAGTTTTAATTTTTTGAATTTAATTTTTTTTAAATTGAGTTATTTATTTTTCGTATTTTTTTATTTTTAGTGAATAGTTTTAAAATTTTAAACATTTTTTTTTGCTTTTTTTAGATGCACCTTACTTAGATGTATCTAAAAAGTAAAATATTTGTGAAAAAAATATTTTTAAAAATTAATAAATGCACAAAATACGAAAAATGTATTGAATTTTCATAATTTTTTTTTATTTTTTGGTATTTGGTGAATTTTTTAAAGATTTTTTTTTACAAATATTATTCTTTTTAAGTGTATTTATATTTGGTGTGTCTAAAAATTAAAAAAAAATTACTTAAACTATCAAAAAAAATTAGTGAAAACAAAAAAATATATAAAAAAAAGATAGAATTTTTTAAAAAGTAAATTTTGAAAATTAAAACCAAACAGAATGATAAAATTTTAGAAAAACTCAATGTAATTTATCTTTAAAAAAAAAATGAAGTGGACAATAACTTTTGTTTCCCCCCTACTATGTTAACCAAAATGTTTGCCAATTTTTGTATGACATAAAAATTAATTTTTTTTAAAAAAAAATTTCTTTATAAATTTAAGATTTAAACATAAATTTTAAAAAATAAAAAAATAACAAATTAAAGATAACATTTATTGCACATGTTAGCAACTCCCATTATAAACTTATATTTTATTTATTTATTTGGGAAAAACCTCCTCTTCAGTTTACAATTGATAATGTTGTTGAGTTAGTGAGATTTATCATGAATTTTATTTTTGGAAGATTTATTAGAAAGTATTTGATAGTGTGAATATTCATATTAACATATTAACATTCACATTGATAGTATGAAAATTCACATTGACTGTATGAACATTCACATCACAAAATATTCATATTGTAAATGTGAATATTATTAGGGATATTTTAGTAATTATGTCACCCATAAGACTTATTAGAATATAAAAAAATTATGTAAACTAAATTAAATATAAGTAGGTGAAAAGAGATTAATGAAAAAATGTCTCTTTATTTTAATGATTCAAATCGTCAATATATACAATTAGTTGAGTATTTTATTTTTATAAAAAATTATATTAATTGAATATTGATAATCTCTTCATCTAATCATATTTTTATTAATAATAAATATAATTTTAAAATAAAAAAATATTCTAATAAAATATTTATCAATATCTGATTGATAAAAAATACAATAAATTTAAATGGGTACAAGAGTTTGCACGTGGCAGTTGATGTCGGTGACAATGGCAGGACTAGACCACGGAGAAAATATGCACCCTTTCTAATTTCTCCGGACAAAAGGAAAAAGTAGACGTGGCGTCCGTTCACGTCACTCAGAGAGTGAGATAATTATTTAATAATCTCATAATATAAATAATAATATAATTAAGAAAAAAAATAAACAACTAAAATATATTACGTCAAGAGATTAAAATATATAATAAAAAATAAATAAATTATAATTATTTAAGTAGAGACAGATGTTACTCCCAAAATAATCTAATTTTCCTTAAAAAGACGCTGTCGAACGATAAGAATCGATAAGGGAGTAGATTTTTATCGACGGAAGTTGGTTGTATATCTGAAATTAGGACATGGAGCTCTATCTACTACACAACTACTGCTACCACACTATTCACTCATCATCATCATCATCATCATCATCATCATTTCCCAAAATCATTAGAGCTCCATCTCCAGCCCCGTCATCGTCAATCTTGTTTTTCCGTACAAATCTAAGATATATGCGGCGGCGGCGGCGGCGGAGGATTGCCGGTGGCGGCGGTGGCGTCAGAATGTGTGCGGGAGCGGCTTCGAGGCTGGAACAGCCGGGAGGGAAGATGGTGGTGGAGCTGGTTGGGGCATTCAATGAGCTGACGGAGAGAATGAACACAAAGGCACTCTCGACGAGCTCTTCTCACGTACTCTTCAAGTCTCTCAAGCTATCAATCCCCATCCTCCAAACACTCCCTCTCCTTCCCCATGCCCGCTCTCCTCTCTCCAGGGCTTTATCTGTCGCTCTCCTCCTCGCTGATCTTCAGGTCACTTACTTGTAAACTTGTATTGTATTTGTATTGTATCATCCCCCCAATTAATTAATCAAAGCCCTAAATAACAACAACAACAACAACATTTTCACCTTCTTCTTACTTTCTTTCTGTGATTTATCACTAAAACTACAGATCTAATTTGTACGAAATGCCATCAGATGATCACGTTTCTCAATTTCCCCTAATTTTGCATTATCAAATTTCTTGTTTTTCCCCCAACCCCAACCCCAACCCCCACCAAAACTCCTAATATATATCTATCCATATATATATGCATGGGAAATTGCAAAAAAGTAAAAATTAATTGCAATTGCAATTGCAATTGCAATTGCTGTTGTACCTATATAAAACAGCTAACAAGGTTACTACTCCTAGCGTTCAATTGTAATAGTTGTATTCCCAAAAAAGCTCGGAATAGGATGTTATTGCTGCTTAATGTTCATAGCTGTCTAATCAGTCATTAATATTGTTGTAATAATAATATTGACTTCAGATGGACGCAGAAGTTATTTCAGCTGGTATACTGAGAGAAGTTGTGGAAGCAGGTGGTATATCCATACATGAAGTGAGAAATCGGATAGGTACTGGTACCGCTCATCTATTACATGAAAGTTTCCGCGTTAACAACATTCCGTCAAAAGTTGATGTCTTGGATGACCGTAGTGCTACCGCTTTAAGGAAGTTCTGCTTGACTTACTACGATGTCAGGGCTGTCATTCTAGACCTTGCTCTCAAGCTCGACACCATGAGACATCTTGATTACCTCCCAAGGTATAAACAGCAACTGTTTTCACTTGAGGTTATCAAGATACATGCTCCCCTAGCTCATGCTGTTGGGACCAACTTTTTGTCAACTCAGCTGGAAGACCTCTCTTTCCAATACTTGTTCCCTTATTCATACCTTTATGTTGATACATGGTTACGAAGCCATGAAACCGGAAGCAAACCCCTAATTGATATATACAAGGACCGTCTGCTTCAATCCTTAAAATCTGACTTCTTCTTGGCAGACATGGTAGATGATATCTCAGTCAAAGGTCGCTACAAAAGTCGTTATAGCACTATGAAGAAACTGTTGAAAGATGGCCGCAAGCCTGAAGAAGTGAATGATATATTAGGATTGAGAGTAATACTAAAGCCAACTTCTGGGGAAAATATGTCTCAAGTAGGCGAGAAAGCATGCTACAGGGCACGTGAAATTATTCGATCTCTATGGAAAGAGATGCCTAATAGGTCAAAAGACTATATTGCCCAGCCCAAAGCAAATGGGTACAAGAGTTTGCACGTGGCAGTTGATGTTGGTGACAATGGCAGGACTAGACCACCAATGGAAATACAAATACGGACAATAGAGATGGATATGTTGGCTGCTGGTGGAATGGCATCTCATTCATTGTACAAGGGTGGCCTTACTGATCCAGAAGAGGTAAGGCCCTCCACTGTGACTGAAACTGGATTTCAAATATTATTTTGTCAAGCATTTATTATTACCTTTGATCAACTATTTGTCAATCAATATTATCAAAATTCAGATATTTATATTAATTTTAAGAAAAAATGTAGACAGCGCAACACCTTAGTTTAAAAGCACAAACTTCTATAATCTGTTGTTTCCATGCCACTCATGAGCTAAGTTTAATCTTTCTATTTTTACAAATTTCTATAGTCTATTGTTTCCATGCCTCAATTCTTTCCTTTGTTAGGCAAATGGTTTGATATTGCATTTTGTAGTAGACAACTTGACTAAGACATGGGTTATCTGTTGATGCTCAGGCAAAGCGGCTCAAGGCAATTATGATGGCTGCAGCTGAACTTGCAGCCGTGCGTCTTAGAGATCTTCCTTCCTCAATTCATAAAGGTATTGAGACTGATCACAGAGATCGAGTATTCCGTCTTCTTGACAAGAATGGAGATGGTAAGATCAGCATCGAAGAACTTATGGAAGTGATGGAAGAGCTTGGTGCTCAAGGCGAAGATGCCCGGGAGATGATGCTGCTTCTTGATTCAAACAGTGATGGTTCTTTGAGCTCAGATGAATTTGATATGTTTCAAAAGCAGGTAAATAAATGTGAATGCTTATTATGATGAAACTAATTACAAAACTAAAAATCAGAAATGGTATAGCCAGATTCCTTGTCATCATGATTCAGTAGTTTAATATTTAACTTGATAATATTGAATTTCCAAATTCTTTGACCCAGAAACCTCATGGCTTGTATTAATATATTCAATAATGAAGTATGTCTGTAAGCCTAGCTAGAACCACAATATTATGAGTCTATGCTGATCCTGAGGTTATGCAATAGATGTGGTCCATGTGGTGGACTTGCACTATACTGTCCTTGAGTTTTATGTGATAGCTAGACAAAGGGAACTTGCATGAGTGTGTATTTTTTTAGGCAAATTTCACTTTACTCCTTGTGGTTTGGCCCAATTGCACATAACCCTCGTGTGATTTGTGGACTAAAGTGCGCCGTCAGAGCCATTAACGGCTCAAGAAAAAAGACTAAAATGCTTTTGTACATAAGTAACCTAATTGTGCAAACTACAGACATTATTGTCCATTTTTCTGTGAGGCAAAATTCACTTTAACCGTTGTGCTTCACTCAAGATGTGATTTACGCCCTTGACATTTGGAAATGAGCACATAACCCCTTTCTGTTCTGGCACGTGTTTTACACTTGTTACCTTGGACGGAATGTCTAACAAGTACACTTCAGTCCACAATTCACAATGGGATTATGTGCTTATTTCAAAATGATAGGGAGCTAATCTGCACATGGGCTAGATCATAAGGAGAATCCGTCCCCCCGCCCCCCCTTCCTTTTTTATAATGCTGATCAGCATTTTTTTTAATTATTTTTAAAGCCCAAAACTGTAATTACCACTTAGGCTGAACATTTCATCATTTTCATGGATAATCTTGTTCATTTTTCATGTTGTACTCTGTCATTGAGCATGTACTTCAATTATAGAAGGCATGAACTTGGTAAGAAACTATGGTTTAAGTTTTCGATTTGAATGGTATTTCTTGATCAAATTGATTGGGACATTGCTTGTCTTGCATGTTAGGTGTGGGTGAGAGGTGTGGTTAGAGGTAGTCCGGGAAGATGGCGGGCACTTCAATGGCTTGGGACCACCGGAGGTGGAGAGGAGGAGGTCAAGGCAAGCTTGGAGAGGGAGAGGTTGGCAGTGATAGGCCTTTGAACACTAATGTAAAGTATGAGAGAGTGTTTTAGCATGAGACCTGGTTGTATTGTTCTCGTTGTGTCTCGCTGCATATACGATACGTTATATAGGCCGCAGGAGTATTGGAGCCTAAGCAAACTGTCGGACAGGTGGCTCGTTCTCCTCAACTCTGCCAGAAGTGATATAAGCCCTTCTGCCGTCTGTGGCTTGCCGGCAGGCGGAGAGCAACGTTTCATGGCAGGCAGAAAGTAACGTTTCGTATATGCATCGGATGACATGAACGTAAGGTCATTGTTGCCTCTTCTCCAAGCCTGGTCGAGATAGAGTTGTCTTAGCAAGAAGACAACTATCTCGACGATCCCATGACCTCAGCCGCCAGTCCAGTATCCTCTGATGATCCCGAGCAGTAGTGCCTGGGTCCTGCTCCCAACCCAGGCATCCAAGTAGATAAATGGGCTAGGGGCCACCTTAGTGTTTAGGAGAGCCAAGGGCTCGCTTCCAAGTGATCAAGTAGGAGAATGGGCCGCAGGCCTATCTCAATGTTTAGGAGAGCCATTGTTTATCAATCCAAGTCCAAGTGAGCGGCCATGTCTTGTCTGTTGCAGGGCCTCTCCATATTCTAGATACATTATGGGGGCTTGTATATATTAGCCACGTTAAGGTCTAAGCATATAGTTTATTGGTTGCCTTGCACATGCACGGTATAGGCCGCCATGTATCAAACATACAACATGCCAGACATTGTGCTATTGGTCTTGTGCCCGTAGGTGTGGTTTTGGATATTCGCATCATCGGGCTTGCCACGTACGAGCTTGACAAAGTACCCACAATAATGCCCCTGTACAGATGCTCTTATAGCTGATGAGAGTATTTGTGCATGACTATGTTAAAAAGTTTTGAAAAATATTAACTCATGCAGACAAGTATTCAGATAAAGCCGTCTAAAATTAAGCTTTTGATATAATTGGGGGGGCATGATTGCTCATGGAGAGTTTACATTTTAAATTTCATCTGGTGCGAGCCGGCCGGATAAAGATGTGGGCTTGTTGGGCGATGGCTTGATTCCAGGGAATTTCCACTACTTCACAGGAGATTTCAGCTTCATTCCATAGGCACCAGATTCCGCCTCTCACCCTTTCCATATCGCTAGGGGGGGTAATGGTCTTGGTGTTAGGAAAGCCCATGATTTGGCTCATGAACTGGGCCTCGCTTCCTTCTTTTTTTTGTGTTTGTGATGATGACGAGGTGGAAGCGTCTGCTGGAGTGTAGGTGCATGTAGTGTTGGAGGAAGTTGGGGCGAGCGACACCCTCAGTGTTGAAGAAGAGGATGTTAAGTGGAATGTTGAGCGGGATGTTTGGCTGGGCACTACGGGAAACGCTCTCTTCTCCTATGTTGAGATCTGCAAGGCTCTCTATGTCCCATCCAAGTCCCAAATCTTCATTTGGGTTTACCAATGGCGCTGACATGATGGAGATGTGGTGGTCTAAATCTCTCTCTGTCGGTCTTTGTGAGAGGATGTTGATACGGATCCTCTCGAAATGCGGGACTAACACCTGATTTGCCTGGCAGGTGGATCCCTGGAGAGTGAGGTTGATTTCTTGGTTTATCAAAAACCAAGTATGGGACAGTGGTGTTGTGTAAAGTTCTGGAATGGTTAGTGCCTTGTACCATCCTCTTATTTTACTCCGGAATTCTTCCGGCACCTCTACTACTGTATGAGCAGATATTGGGTGTTGGATCCAAGGGGATTCGAATAGTTGATCTTGGAATTGCCATGGAGGCATGGAGAGCATCTTTCGAAAAAACTCACACACAGGGCGGCGGTGAGTACGAGTGGAGCTCGAAACTTTAGAGCTGGAGCTTGAAGCTCTATAGCTTGGACCTCTTGGGTTTGGAGCCTTGTTCACCGGCCGCCAAACGGTGTTATCTCGGTGCCTCTGGCCGCCGGAAGATATTTAGAGAGGATGGGTTGAAGGGAGAGTGTTAGCAATTAGATATGAATTTGCCTGCGTTTTTGTGTGTTGTTGTCCTGCATTTGTGCTCTCTTATAAAGACGGGGAAGAGGGGGTGAATTCATTGATTTTTGCAGCTTTTTGTTGGGAAAGAGCGATCTATGGAGAAGACAACTCATCAATTGGACTTATAGGTTTAGAGCAGACTACTAATAGTAGCTGATTTGGAGCTGCTAGGTAGCATGCGATAACTTGAGCGATTTTTTTTTTTTTTTTTGTAGAGTCTAAGGTTGTTGCAGTCTGCTTTTAATATTTGTAACAGGCAAAGAGAATTTTTGATTTGGTTTAAGAATTTCCCTTGGGAAGGTACAGCCTCAATGTGTACATAAATTTATTTAATCTTTTTTTTTTTTTTGGGAACTTCTCGTCCTGCTTGAACGTTGCATTATTGCCACATAAAAGATTGTGTATATTCTGGGTATAACTTGAACTTGTTCGAACCATTCCAAAAGTGAGCTTGCCGTTTTATAGAAATAAGGACTCTATATATATACAGATATATAGATATATATATATATATATATTTTTTTTTTCAAAAAAATGTTTTTCGTGTTTTTTGAATTTGACCAGAGCTGTCCAAATTCTGGTTACTTCATCCACTTCTCTTTTTATCCATTGTGCAGACCTTTTTTTTTATATTTTTTTTTTTTTTTTTTTTTTTTTTTTTTTTTTTTGAACTTCTCGCCCTGCTTGAACGTTGCATTATTGCCACGTAAAAGATTGTGTATATTTTGGGTATAGCTTGAACTTGTTGGAACCATTCCCAAAAGTGAGCTTGCCGTTTTAGAAAAATAAGGACTCTATACAGATATAGATATATATACATTTTTATTTTTATTTTTTTATTTATTTATTTTTTTTATTTTTATTTTTTTTGAATCAGGATCTCTGTTTGTTCCTTTTACCCATTGTACAGAAGGGTGTGTCTTGGACATGGTTACCCAGAGTTAGGTTTCTTAGATTAATGGACCATAAAAAAAAGATAAAATAAAAAAAAAAAACGTTATTTGGCGAGCCTAGGGTTTTGTTGTACCATTCTGTTTGGGTTTGGGTCTAAGTGTTCCACAGTCTCTTAATCCAAGTGGAGTGTTGGGTTGCTATAATTTTTGTCTCTCTTTGTAAGCTTGGTTGGCTATCCGCGTTGTGTTCAAGCTGTAAAGGGAAGATAGCAGGACGAAGGCTGTCGGAGGTCGTCATTGGTGGGTTGCAAGGGTGTGGAGTGGTACGCAGTGGTGAGGCGACTCTCATACTGTCTCGGATTGAAGCAGATTGCGACGCTGGAGGGTCAGTTGCTGGGTATAGGAGAGAGGCTAGATGTTTATATTATTGGGTTCAAGGTGGTGAATTGAACTTCGAAGTCGCGAAGGGGGAAAGAGGCGAGTCGGGCAGAGGGAGAAAGGAGGGAAGAAAAGTGCTGCGAGTCGCGGAAGTCACCGTTACGTGAGCCGCAGGGGTGCTGTGAGGCGATCGGTTGGGCTGTCGGAAGTTGAGTTCTGATTCTGGTTTGGCTGCTAGGGCTCTCAATCCAAGTGGTGTTGGGTTGCTATATTTTCTGTCCCTCTTTGTAAGCTTGGTTGGCTGTTCGCGTTGTGTTCAAGCTGTAAAGGGAAGATAGCAGGACGAAGGCTGTCGGAGGTCGTAATTGGTGGGTCGCAAGGGTGTGGAGTGGTGCGCAGTGGTGAGGCGACTCTCACACTGTCTCGGATTGAAGCAGATTGCGACGCTGGAGGGTCGGTTGCTGGGTATAGGAGAGAGGCTAGATGTTTATATTATTGGGTTCAAGGTGGTGAATCGAACTTCAAAGTCGTGAAGGGGGAAAGAGGCGAGTCGGGCGGAGGGAGAAAGGAGGGAAGAAAAGTGCTGCGAGTTGCGGAAGTCACCGTTATGTGAGCTGCAGGGGTGCTGTGAGGCGATCGGTTGGGCTGTCGAAAGTTGAGTTCTGATTCTGGTTTGGCTGCTAGGGCTGGGTTGTGTTTGGGTCTTGATCGAAGGACCTGTGCGTGAGCCATCAGCAGCAAGGGTTGGGTGTCGATCTGTTTGATTCGGTAAAGTTGGGTTTCTAAGGGTTATTGCTATGGGTGGATTCTGAGAGGAGCAACGACCAGGAAGTGGAGGAGCCGGCCGGATAAAGATGTGGGCTTGTTGGGGGATGGCCCAACTAGCTGCTCTGGCGTGGTGTCTATCGAGAGTTTGGCCTTGTCCATGGCCGAAAGGACAGCCTGTCTATGTACTCGAGAAGCCATAAGCAGTCCTCAGATGGAGATGTCTGCTTGTATCTTTTTTAACTGTTTTAACATAGCCTCTTCTTTGAGTTGCTTCTCTTTCTATAAATAATTTTTTCCTCCACATTATTTATTTATTTAATATGTATATATATATATATATTTTTTCTGGTTTTTTTTTTTTTTGGAGCAAGAGGCAGATCAATAAAAGAGGGTTGTATTATGGAGAAGTGGAGAGGTCTATAATAAAATTGTTAATTAGGTAAAAAGTGAAAATGTTGGAAAGTAATTAATAACGAATAATGGAGAAGTGTATGCTGAATAAAAATAAACTGTTAGAATAAATATCGGAGAGCTATTTGGCAAAATTTTAGTATTGTATTGAGAGCTATGAGGTTTTATTATTATTATTATTATTGATAGGTCGTAAACAGAAAAGTTGAACCGAGGGAAGCCCCAAAAGGATTTGGAGAAGTATAAATAAATAAAATAAATAAATAAAATAATGAAGGGGCTATTTATTTTATTTTATTTTTACAGTGATGAGGTAATAGAGGGTTGAAAATAAATGAGAGCTATGAAAGATGAAGCCCATAAAACAATTTCGGGAATTTTAAGAAAATGAGGCGAGGGAGGCTCAAGAGTTTATGTATTTATTTATTTTTACAAAAAAGAATTTCGTGAAATAAAGAAAGATGAAGCGAGGGAGGATTGGTACGAGGGGAGTGGCGAGGGGAAGTAAAGATTAATAGGAGGGATGGTGAGTGTTGCGATAGATGGGTTTGGTTATGCGAGGGAAAGGGGCTATCCCAAAATATGGGTTTTGTTATGCGAGGGAAAGGAGGCTATCTCAAAATATGAGTTTTGTTATGCGAGGGGGAAAGAGATTTTTTTTTTTGGTGGAAATAGTTAGAAAATTTATGCGAGGGATAGAGGCATGTGAGAGATAGAGGCTTAGCGAGGGGAAGAGACTTAACTCAAATTTTATTTTTATTTATTTTTATTTATTTTTATTTATTTTTTTATTTTTTTCGATGGGAAGGGTTGTGCGAGGGGAAGGGGCTATCCAAAATATGGGTTTTGTTGGGTTTTGTTATGCGAGGGATAGAGGCTATCCAAAATATGGGTTTTGTTAGGTTTTGTTATGCGAGGGAAGAGGCTATCCAAAATATGGGTTTTGTTGCGTTTTGTTATGCGAGGGGAAGATGCTATTTCAAAATATGATTTTTTTTAGGTTTTGTTATGCGAGGGAGAGAGGCTATCCAAAATATGGGTTTTGTTGGGTTTTGTTATGAGAGGGGAAGAGGCTATCTCAAAATATGATTTTTTTTTTTTGATGGGAAGGGTTGTGCGAGGGGAAGGGGCTATCCAAAATATGGGTTTTGTTGTGCGAGGGAAAGGGGCTACCTTAAAATAGGAGTTTAGCCTTAGCGAGGGAGAGAGGTATCTCAAAATGTGAGTTTTGTGATGCGAGGGAAAGGGGTATCTCAAAATATGTTTTTTTTTTTTTTTTGTTTTAATGAAAATAAAAAAAATAATGAAGGGAAAGGGGCTATTCCAAAATATGGGTTTTGTTATGCGAAGGAAATGGGCTATCTCAAAATAGTGCCTTATTCTTAGCGAGGAAAAAGATTCTTTTTTTTTTTTTTTTTTCTTTTTTCCATGGGAAGGGTTATGCGAGGGGAAGGGGCTAGGCGAGGGATGGATTATGTTGTGCGAGGGAAATGAGGATAAGTGCGAGCGGTAAGGGGGGTGCAGCGTTTTTTTTTTATTTTTTATTTTTTAACTTTGGTGGAAATAGTTAAAAAAAAAAAAAATTTGCGAGGGATGAAAACATAAATGTAGGCGAGGGATAGAAACATAAATGTAGGCGAGGGATAGAAACATAAATGTAGGCGAGGGATAGAAACATACTGGGAAGGCAAGGGAGAGGTGAATTGCGAGGAAAATGCCTAACTCAAAATAGTGCCGTAGCGAGGGAAAGATGACTTTTCTCTTTCCTTTTTTTTTTGTTGATAAAATGCAACTCAAAAGTGAATGACATTTCTGATTTGTAAATCTTGTGTTGATGTAGGAAATGCGAGCTTTTGTGATATGGCTAAAGTAAAAGGGGGAAGTGTTGTGTCCTGTCGCAGCGCGCAACAATCACTAGCAGGTTCTTCTGGCATTTCCCAGTCAAAAGAGGGTAAATCCAAGAAAAATCTTTTTAAGGACAAGAAGGACGCGGATCCTCCAATCGTCCCTCCAGCGGAATATTGGTGTAAGGCACCTTTCTTTGGTGCCATGGATTTGTTTTGGGCGAGGGTGGATTTATTTGATGACAATGGCAGGGACTCGACTGATTCGACTGATTTCCTTCTTGGTGGGGTTGAGCTAGAGAAAGGGGTTGAAGCTTTTGTTCCTCCACAGTCTATCGTACGTTTTCATGTGGAGAGGGGCACTTATCCGTACTCTTTTCCAGCTTTTGAGGATTATACAGGGCCTAAAGATGACTTTGATGTCTGGAGCGCAGCTATCTTTCGTTATCTCTCATATTGTGAGGTGCTTGCTGGAGCTAAGATTGCTACTGCTATTTCTCAGTGTATGCGAATTAGACGGGAGTCATCTTGGTTGGAGTTCGCATTGTCACGTTGGAGTTCAAGTTCTCATACTTTTATTGCACAGTGGGGCGAGACGACCCCTACTCTAGAGGATGTAGTTGTTTTGACGGGGTTAGAGCATCTTGGATTGGCGAACCCTAGCATAGGAAGTTTGTCCCTTAGCCAGATGGCTATTGTTGGGAGATTGGAGGAGGTCGTGGCACCGGCAGGGAAGTTATTAAGTCGTTATCAAAATAAAGTGTTAGTAACATCTCGATCACGAAAACGCCCAAAAAACACTTTCGGGGGATGGCTTCGGTACTGGTTTCGAGATCTTAGCCATCAGGTGCAAGGAAATGCGGAGGATGGATTCATAGGTCCAGGGATGGAAGGGGACAAGTGGGGGAGTATTGAGCATTTAGCTGCTTTCATTACATATTGGTTGTCACGGTATGTCTTGATGGGTAGACCCCAAGACGGTATTTGCCATGAGCTCTTTCCTCTTGCTGCCATTCTTGCTTCCAGCCGTTCGATTTCGTTGGCTCCTTTATTTCTGGGGGGGCTGTATAGGAGGTTAGATATGTATCAGGAGGGTGTTGATCGTTCCAAAGGACGATACGATGTTACCAGCTTCCTTCCTACTACCTTTCTGCAGTTGTTTTTGTATGAGAGATTTCCTAGCTTGGCCCCTATGCCAAAGGTGTTTTCCATTGAAAAAAGTGAGCCGCGTTCTGCTAGGTGGGCTGAGGGATGTGTACAGGGGAGTTTGGCCAGCATTTTTGATTTTGAGGACAAGTTTGTTGCTCGTCCTTATGTTATGCCAGTTTGTGGAGTATCTTCCACCGTTGCCTATCGCCTAGATGATTGCGAGGAGGGAGAGAGGCTATCCAAAATATGGGTTTTGTTGGGTTTTGTTATGCGAGGGAGAGAGGCTATCCAAAATATGGGTTTTGTTAGGTTTTGTTATGCGAGGGAAGAGGCTATCCAAAATATGGGTTTTGTTGCGTTTTGTTATGCGCCGACTGTATGCAATTATATGTATACTCTTTTCTTTCAGAAGAATTAAGGCGTCGGGGACGAGTTGTGCTAGCAAGTAAGGGTAGAATTGGCGGAACCACCCCTAGTTGGAAGAAGTATTGGAGATGCAATCTTGCATTATTTCGGGCTTTTTTGAGTAGTGATCTTGATCCTGTCCATGTTGAGCTCATTCCGTCTGATGACCCCGAGTTATGTATGGCTCGCGGAGATCGGGGCTTGTCAGCTGCAGATAGGGGGGAACTCAGCCCATTGGCTCGTTTATCTAAGGTGACTATTGCTTTGGAACAATCCCAGATAGTTTCTCCTGACCGACCATCTAGTGCCAAGCGTAAAAGGCCACCCCCTTCCTCCGTTCTTGTTCCAGTGCCTGGGAGAGTACCTCCACAGATTAGAGGTATAGGTCCGCCTACTAAATCCAGGATTGCCCGCCAAGCGAGGGGTTGCTCGATTGACACTATTGATTCGTCACAGGTAAACTCATATTTTGTATTTTGGAATTATTTGAGAGTTTGTGGCGTTTCTAATACGTTTGTATTAAAATACCTGTATTGTTTGTAGGGGTCGGCTGGCGCGTGTCAGATAAAATTGGCGCGGCATAAAGTCTTGCCCATAGGTGCTGAGGACGATGTAGAAAATTCAGATGATGATGAAGAGGGTTCGGATCAGAGTCTTGAGGTTATGGGGGCAAGAGATGATGTTGAAGACGATGTTGGATGTGATATGGTTAGTGCTAGGCCTTCTTTGTTGGATACATCAAGTTCTAGGGATGCATTGGTTCCTTTGCGGGACAAGATTGGAGGTGGTGTCCCTATTGCTCGCTTGTTTGAAGGTGGTTGTAATTTTTCACATAGCGATGTGCTTAGCTCACGAGTTGGAGGTGCCAGTACATCCGTGAGCTTGTCATGCGGTATAGGCTCTTCTGCGCCCATTTCTTTACATGCTTCTACGACCTTTGCGAGCCTAGAGAGTAATGTGCCCACCATTCCTTCGGGCTCCGAAGTTGGAATCAACTCGCCTATTGTTTCAGTTGGTGCAAACTTGGGTGGTGTGCTCGTACGCGAGTTGTTTGGCTTCATTCAGAAAGGTGCTAGTGATATCGGGGGTAGCCTTCAAAGACCATCACTGCCAGCTATTGATGGAGATTATTCCCTCATTCATGCTACTGATGGAGATTTTTCTCCTATTCATCTTCCCCGTGGCAGTGTGGTTCTTAAAGGGATCGATTGGAAGGAAAAGCTACTGGATCCAGTTGTGTTGTTTGCCGAGGTCAAAGCAGAGTTACTTCCTCGACTGCTCTTTGTTCTTCATTATAAACCGACCACTTTCATGCACTTGGGTAGCTCTTATCTCAGGACTTATTTTTTGGATGGTTTTGGAGAATTCCTTAAGGAGCTTTACAAGTTATCCCCAGAGACAACTTCTTTTGATGAGGTGTTGGCCCAACGTGCTGTTTTGGACGAATTTCGAGATGGCCGGATTAACAGATTGGAGGTGGGTTGGTTGGATGATTGGTTATCCCTTCTTGAATCCAAGGTCAGGAGGAGGATGATTGAGGCTGAGCTAGGCGAGGTAGACAAGGCTTTGGTTGTTGCTGTACGAGTGGAGGAGGAACGTAAGCTATCTTTTGAACGAGCACAGAAAGCTTTGAATGAAGCAGAATTGGCGTCTTCTAGCTTGAGAGAAAAGAAAGCGATTCTTGAAGCAAGATTGGTGGGTGAAGAAGAAGAAGATCAAGCTTCCAGAGTCTTGACTTAGTTGGATCATAGTTTTGTAGCATATGATAACTTTATAGCATATGATAGCTTTATAGCCTAAAACTTTTTTGTATGTTGGAGTTTTGGGCCTCCCTTTCTTTTTCTTTTTTTTTGTAATTGAAAATCTTCAACTACTTTAATGGAGCTGACTTTCGAGTTAAAGTGTCCTCTTTTATTAGTTGTGATTATAGTTAGAATGAGTGTGAAAAAGGACGATATTCATTGAAGAAGCCCAAATGGGCACAATACATCTTGGTGTAGTACATTATATAGTAATGGGTAATTTCTAAGGATAGTAAGCCTTCAACCATTTCGCATTGATGGGGCTTAAGAGGGTTTGAGAATCAGGCTCAGAAATTCTGTAATAGCCATTTTCATTGACTTCCCTTACTACAAAGGACCCTGTCACTTGGGTGTGAACTTGTGAGTTGATGTTCCCCTCATGACGTGAGGTACAGCCCGCAACACTAAATCACCTTTTTGGAACTGTCTTGGACGTACCAGAGTATCATAAGTTTTAGCTATACGGCTCTGGTAAACTCTAAGATTAGTCTGGGCCTTGTCCCTTCTTTCATCAAGGACTTCCAGCTCTGACGGCCTGGAGTACGGGCTAGTTCCGCTTCGGAGGGCCATGCGAGATGGTATGGTAATTTCCACTGGAAGGATGGCTTCCGTGCCATATACCAACGAAAATGGGGTCATTTGAGTTGGTCTTCTTTTGGATGTTCTGTATGCCCAGAGCGCCATTGGAAGCACATGTGCCCAGTCCCTTTGATAATCCTTGAGAGTCCTTGAAAGGATTCTAAGGAGTGTTTTGTTGGTTGCTTCAGCTTGTCCATTCCCCTGGGGATAGTAAGGCGTTGATTTATGGTGTGTGATATCGTAAGAGACTAAGAGTTTCCCCACTTGGCGGTTAACAAAAGGGGTCCCATTATCCGACAGGATTACTCTAGGAATGCCAAAACGACATATAATGAATTCTCGAATCAAATTGGAGACAACGGCTCCTGTTGCCTTCTTCAGGGGGATGGCTTCTACCCACTTAGTGTAAGTCTCTGTGGCCGCTACGATCCATATGTGTCCCTTTGACGGTGGAGAGATGGGGCCAATAAGATCCATAGCCCATGTGTGGAAAGGCCATGGTGAGCTCGAACTATGAAGATCAGTGGCTGGTGCGTGAATAAGGTTACCATGGACTTGACAAGGTTTGCAGCGTTTGGCATATATTTTGGCGTCCGCTTCCATGGTGGGCCAATAATAACCTATAGGCAAAAGATGTTGGAATAGCTTGGCTCTGCCTTGGTGCTCCGACCCATGAGCAAGTTCTAAAACTTTATGGATTTCTGCTCCCGATAAGCAGCGTAAAGGCTTCCCGTCAAAGCCACGCCTAAAAAGTTGACCTTCGTGCAAAAAGAATTTTGAAGCTCGCTTCTTGATTATTGCTGCTGCAGAGCGATCTGGCGGCAATGACGCTTCTGTGAGGTAATCTATATACACCTGACGCCAGTCGGAGGTGATTTCTGCGAAATTACATTCAGCTTTTGGAGGGAATTCCTGGCATTTGGTGCACTTTCCCTGAAGGTCGTTTGCTTCTTTGGCCATAGTAGGCCAATAATATCCCTGTCGTTGTAGCCTCCTATAGAGGCTCACGGCTCCTGTTCCGCAAGAACGATTGTGAATCCCTTCTAACTTAGACTTGGCTTCGGTAAAGTCGATGCATCGTGCTAGCAGACCCCCAGGCCCTCTGTAGTAAAGGACTCCTTGGTAAATCGTGAAGTGTTTGATTTCGCACAAAGGTAGTTTACCTGAGGGGGCGCGAAGCTCATTGATGATTGGGGCTCTCCAGTCGGCGGGATCTTTTTCAGGAAAAATAGTTGTTACCGAGCACGGCATGGAGCGCTTCAGAACTTCTATCTTAGTTGATTCTTCCGCGAACTCTACTTTAGAAGCCAAGGTAGCAAGGGCGTCTGGGTGTCGATTGTTAGAGCGAGGAGCGTGTTCTATCCTTACCGTGTCAAATTTGTCTATCAACCTTTGGACAATGGTTCTGTATGAGGCTAAAGGGGGCTCTTTGATAGCATAGTCTCCATTGGTCTGCTTGACCACCAAATTAGAGTCGCTTTTGATGCATACGAGACTTACTACCAGGTGGAGTGCTGCCATAAGCCCTAATATCAGGGCTTCGTATTCAGCCTCGTTATTAGAGCATTTAAAATCTAGTTTATATGACAAATTGACTTCAGTTTGATTTGGGGAAATAAGGACTATTCCAGCTCCTCCCCCTTTAGAGGTGGACGATCCATCGAAACTCAAACTCCATTCTCCTTCGGTGTTTACTTCAGCTGCTTGGAGCTCATCACCTGGCAATTCGTCCGAAGGCGGTTCATGTTCTCCACTAGGGAAGTGAGCTAAGAGGTCGGCAAGCGCTTGACTCTTGATGGCCTTGGGAGCTTTGCAAGTGATGTCGTATTCTGCTAATGATAGGAGCTAGCGAGCTGGCCTGCCGGAGAGCGTTGGTCTAGTGAGGAGAAAGTGGATAGGATCACTCCTGGTCATGAGATGGATGGGATAAGAAAGAAGGTAATGGCGGAGCTTTTTGGCTGCGAACACTAGGGCGAGGCAGTGTCGTTCAATGGGGGAATATCAGACCTCAGCCCCTTGGATGACTCTGCTTATGTAGTACACGGGCCGTTCAAGTCGGTCAATTTCCTGGGCGAGCAGAGCGCCGACTGATTTCGGCGTGGAAGTGATGTAGAGGATTAAGGGTCTCGCCGGCTGAGGAGGAGTCATGGAGAGAGGGGATGTTAAAGCTGATTTCACTCCTTCGAATGCTTGTTGGTGTTCCTTATTCCAAATGAACCTGACATCCTTCTTCAGTAATGATAGCTGGGATAAACCGTCTCAAGTAAGATGCCCGACCAAGGAAGGTTCTCAACTCGTCTAGACTGGTTGGTCGTGGCATATTTTTGATGACGGCGACCTTTGCTGGGTCGGGGTCTATCCCATGGCGATGAATGATGCAGCCAAGGAACTTGCCGGCAG